TTTTTTTTTCTTTTTTTTTTTTTTTTTTTTTTTAGAATATTGATAATTACATTTTCACTTCTCCAAGTATTGAAAAATACAAAACCCCCTTTTTTTTTTACCCCCACAATCCCATCGGGCATGTGCCAGCCAGAGATAGGAGGGAAAAAAAATAAAAAATCAAAAGTTACATAAAATGTATAAAAGACATTATTATTTATAAATAAAAAATATTAAAAAAATATTTTATATTATATATTTATAATACAAATTGAACGGTGGACGTGACAGCCCTCCTTGTCAGACCAGGTCATTAAGCACTTGTATTGGGGCAAAAAAATAATTTCATAGGTAAAGTTACAAAGTTTGTGGTAATATTGGGCCCTTGGGGGCCACTAAGGGTTTCTTTTTGATAATCCGAACCTTTCATTCCGTAAAACTCGTCGATTAATATGTTTTTGTAAAAAATTACATTGATCGGATATCGTTAACTATATGATCAAATCAATTTTGTATAAACAAAACGGATGGTGTGATAGTTAACTATCGGAAAAAACTAATCCGATCATATAGCTATTGATATCCGATCAAAACGATTTTTTACAAACATATAATACTCAACGAATTGTACATATTCAACTGTTCGGATTATCAAAATGAAACCCTTAGTGCCCCACGGACCGACTATCACTGTCCAAAAATTATTTACCCCGAAGAAGACAATTATTTCTGCGTAAACATTGGGGGAGCCGCAGAGATCCGTACGGTCAATCAACTTTCTTTCACTATATATTTTATTTATATAATTTTTTATTACATATTTTTTCATAAAAAATCAAAAAATTAACCCAAATATTCATATTTTTTTCCTCTATTTTTTAGTCTAAAAATACAAAAAGTGCAACACCCCAAACAACCTCATTTGTCAATAGGCTATTTTAGCGAAAAGAAATAAAAAATATTATTTCAAGTTATTATGTCATTTTATTTATTTTTTACACTTTTTTTAATAAAAAAATAAAAAATTATTAAAATGATCCATCCTCAATTGGGATCCTAATTTTCATTAATTTACATAATTAAGACACTTATAAGGGAAAGACTTGACAAAGAGAAAAAAGACAGGAGTACTTACGTAGGTCATAATAAGTAAATTTATTATCTAATAGGTCTCATGAAAAAAATTTATCATGAAAAAACGTCACTAATTGTAAATTTTTAAGATAATTTATAAAAATCATGACAAAAAAAAGTCACTAATTGTTAATTTTTAGCAACATATATAACAAGTTGTCACAAAAAATATTTTTAATGACAATTTTACTAAGGCTAAGTTTGGCATGTTCAAAAAAAGTCAAAAAGTCATTATCCTATTTAAGTCACATCATCTTATTTAAGTCACATCACCTCTCTACCATATCACTTCAAATCCATCCCATATTTCATAAAAAGTTAAAAAGTGCACTTATTTAGAACATCTCAAACGACTCCTAAAACTTATTTTCAATAGAACTTGATGGGAATAAGTCTAACTATTAAGACCTATTAGTAGGTTACCCAAAAAAAATAGGCACCTTATAACAAAAAAATAAAACAAAATAATTCTATATTTGTTTTAGTTACAACTAAAAAAAATCATAACCAAACACCACACAAGGTATAATTAAAATTTTCATTAGAGAACTAAAATATTATTCCTGTCTAAAAAAAAAAACTAAAATATTATTACAATTAAAGAAAAAAAATTGTGTAATTAGAAATGCATATAATACATTTCTTTAATGTTGTGTTTGGTTGAAAATTTAAAAAAAAAATTAAAAAATAAAAAACAAAAAATATATAAAATTAAGTAAAATATAAAAACATACTGGTGCATGCTCGTATCTGAAGGCACGGTATAAATTAGGGGTTGTTTGGGGCGTCGTAAATAAGTGTACTTTTTATCTTTTTAGACTAAAAACTTGAGGAAAAAAATATGAATATTTGAGTTAACTTTTTGACTTTTTATGAAAAAATGTGTATTAAAAAATTGTATAAATAAGTGTGTAAGAGAAGATAGTGAACTAGGCCGTACTGGTTGGGCAGTGCAGTCGACTGGGTAGGAGATGGGAAAAGATTGTCTCCTTTTTGAGCTTTAATTGGACGGTGTTGTTCGGTTCGTGGGGCCCACCACGAGTCCTGTTTTTCTAATCGGAACCGTTCAATGTGTATAACTCATCGAGTACTATATATTTGTAAAAAATTACGTTAATTGGATATCGATAGCTATCTGATCGTGTTAATTTTTTTTGTCAACTGTTAACTATAACACCATCAATTTTTTATACAAAACTAATTTAATCATATAGTTAGCGATATCCGATAAACGTGATTTTTTACAGGCATATAGTATTAGACGAGTTCTATATATTGACGGTTCGGATTATTAAAACGGGACCCATGATGGGCCCCACGGGCCCAACTTTACCATCTAACTTAGTGAATATACACATTTTTTTCCTTTCAGTGCCTTTGCTTTGACATCAATATCTAGAGTTGCATGAATTGATTTGTATTTAATATTATGTATATTAATTTTTTTAATATTTTTTTTGGTAAATAATAATAACTTTTTACGTAACTTTTTGACTTTTTAGTTTTTTTTTAAAGTTCTCAAATCAGGCCTAAATAAGCAAAAAAGAGAAAAATTAAAAAAAATAAGGAAGGGAAATAAAAAAGGGAGAAAATAAAAAATAAAAATATAAAAAGGAAAGATGAAGGGAAATGGGCAGAAGAGGAGAGAGAGGGAGGTTGCATGAGTGAAAAAAATAGAAGAAAACAAAGTGGGTGAATGAGAATTAAAAAAATATTAACCTTTAATGAATTTGAAAATTAATGTCAACCTTTGAAATAAAATGTAGTTTGAAGACTTGTTCAAAAAAAAAAAATACATATATATATATATAGGGTATGTTTGGTTTGTGTTTGAGAGATGTGTTTTAGAGATAAAGGGCATGTTTGATTGGAAGGATTAAAGCATGGGATTAGGATTATTAATCCGTGGGCCCAATTATCCTATGTTTGTTTTGACATTTTGGTTTAGGACTATTAATCCAATGGATAATTAATCCAACAAATTTGTAAGATTATTAGTAATGGGGTAGGGGTGGGATAATTAATACCACACTAATTTGATAGGATTATTAATACCTCACTATTAGTATTGTGAATCAAACATGGCTAAAAAGTACGAAAACATGTTTGGTTTGGTTTTTTTTAAAAGATGTTTTGGAAAATTATTTTGAGATAGAGTTTTGGAAAAAGTGATTGATTTGATGTGTGTGAGAGAGAGATTTGTTTGGAAAACTTGTTTGGCTTATAAGTTTTGGGAAATTTTTTTGAAAAAATTTGTTTGGTTTGGTTATTTTTGAAAACTTATTTGTAGAGAAAATTTCCCAAATTTTTTTCAGAAAATCAAACCAAACGAGCCCATATATTTTTTTTTTCAATTTTAAATCTCTTTTCGAATCACTCACCCAAAATACAGCGTGTGTAAAAGACATTTTTGTTAACTGAACTAATGAGCTTCGAAAGAACTCTTAAAAATTGCTCCTATAGTGCAGCAGCTACCCTGTTCCGTTTTACACACACTAGAGGGTTGAGAAAGAGAGGAGTGGGCTTTATGTCCTGTCAAGATCGAAACGGCCGGACATTGACACGTTTTCAGCATCATCACGTCAGTGAGAGACACACACACACACACATAGCCCTGCCATGAAGGTGGGTAAACAAAACACTTTATTTAGTTACGAACAATTACACTTTCCAATCTCACCTTTCCCGATATAGAATCCACTCCAATCTCTCTCTCTCTCCCCCTTTCTTTCCTTCATCCTCATCAAAATTGCAGTGAGCAAGAGAGAAAGAGAGAGAGAGATGGGACGTGGAAAGATAGAGATAAAGAGGATAGAGAATGCAACGAACAGGCAGGTGACTTACTCGAAGAGAAGGAATGGTATAATGAAGAAAGCACAAGAGCTCACAGTTCTGTGCGATGCCAAGGTCTCCCTCATCATGTTCTCCAACACCGGCAAATTTCATGAGTACACCACTCCCAACATCACGTATGCCAATTATCCCCAATTCCCTCACCTTTTTTTTTCCTTTTTTATTTGTATAAAAATTTTCGGTTTATTTTTTTTTAAAAAAAAAATGATATAACAGGACGAAAAAGATCTACGATCAGTACCAGAAGACTCTTGGGATCGACCTATGGAGCACACACTACGAGGTCCCTCTCTCTCTCTCTCTCTCTCTTAAATTAAATTGATCTGTAAAGTTGTAGTGAAATTTTTGAATTTGCCAATTAATTTGATGAGTTGTATGTTGATGTGGGTAGAGAATGCAAGGACACTTGAAAAAACTCAAGGAGATCAACAATAAACTAAGGAGAGAGATCGGGTGAGTTAAACCCAATAAAATATTTTTTAAAAAAATAAAAATTTATTATAAATTTTAGTAGATGAACTGAAGGGCTTGTTATTTTCATGAACTACTATTTTAGTTTTATTGGAACAGAACATTTATTGAATTCTAAAGAATGAAGCTAATTAAGCAGAGTATGTGGGTGGCACAGGCAGAGAGTGGGTGGAGAGGACTTGAACGATCTAAGCATCCAGGAACTGTGCGGTCTTGAGCAAAAGATGGCTGCTTCTTTGACTGATGTTCGCCAACGGAAGGTTTGTAGCCTTCAACTAGATCTGAGTTTTACCGTATTTGCCTTTTTTTTTCTTTGATCCACAATAATTTTTTTGTGTAATGTTATCATAATTTTTTTTTTTTTAAACACCAATCACAAAAGTAATAAGATTCATATTATTAAATATATGCGTGACTTATATTTTTGTGTCTAGTACTAAAAAAATTAAGAAATCCTTGATTAGTGATTATTTGTCCTTATTTAACTGTTATAGAAAATGAATTTATTCTATTTCTTGATCATTGATAGTGAAAGATCAACATTAACAAAATTTATTTCAATTAAAAAGGACGATTAAGGAGAATTTTAAAATTTATGTTGACGTGATAGTTATATGCAAGGGCAGAAGTGTGTAGGGGTCTCTCCTATTTTTGATAATTTTATTAATAATTTTATATTTATGCATATTTGTAAAATGTTTAATGGGATGATATTTTAATTTTATAATAATTATTTTACTAACTTTTTATTTCATTAGTAATTTATAATGTCTAATGAAATGATCTCTAATTATTTCACATTTTAAATAATAACATCAATTTTATCGAGTCGATTTTATTAGTATAAGAATACATGTTACTTATTTTTTGAATTTTAAAAATCAAATGGTATATATACTTTTTTATATGTAATGTTGGAGAACCTAAAATTTCACCATTAATTTTATTCACAATGACATGCCAGTGAGTTTAAATTTAAGAGTCTTGTTTTAAAGGTCTTAAACATTTTTCACTTTCTATTTACTAGATTATATTAATCAATAAAATAACTTAAAATTGTAATTTAACCAATTTTGTAATGAGATCCAATAGTTCAATACTAAAAAAACTATTTTTTTAGATTTATTTAATTTTCTAGTGAAATACTTCATTCACCAAGAAATTATATTCAATTAATAATGTACCAAAACTAATTGAGTATTTTTTATGCATATACGTTGGCTCCTCCCTGAGAAAATTCTTGGTTCCACCCCTGCTTATATGCTGTTAATTTTGAATTTTGATAATATTTATAAAATGAAATTGATATTTTCATTCCCATCTATGAAATAGAGAAGGTTAAAATCCATAGAAACAGATGTTCTTCGTTCTTTTTGTCTTCTAAACTAACTTTTATGTGTTGTAGCTGAAACTTGGGAAAAAGCTCCGGACGCCAGTGGGATACTGGGGGTTGCGTGTGATTGGTCCAAAAAAAAATTTTTTTTTTTTTTTTTTTTAATGTTTTCCACCAACCCCATGCTGCCACGTCACTGGAGGTGCGACCCCCATTGGGGGTCCGAAGCACGGGTCCGAAGCACGGCTCCTGAAACTTGTTTAGTTTGTAATATTTTTTTACTGTTCCACCCCTGCTTATATGCTGTTAATTTTGAATTTTGATAATATTTATAAAATGAAATTGATATTTTCATTCCCATCTATGAAATAGAGAAGGTTAAAATCCATAGAAACAGGTGTTCTTCGTTCTTTTTGTCTTCTAAAAGTAACTTTTATGTGTTGTAGCTGAAACTTGTTTAGTTTGTAATATTTTTTTACTTCCTTAAATTCCATTTTACTTATAGTTTCTTCTTATACAAATTTTTATGCTTTTATTTTTTTAATTTTATGATATTTCACCAATGGTTTCAGTCCTTGAATTCTTGCCCATAGACGTTGCCATTCCTTTTCACACTTTCATATTGCAATATTGCTCTTGCATTTTTGTCGGACAATAGAATTGCGTTCCTTCTCCGAATATAAAGAAATAATAATAATAATAAATAAAATAAAAATAAAAGTTATATATACTTTTTGTTTTTTGGGCTCAAGCAGGTCCAAATTGGAACCAACAACCAATGAGTAAACACGTCAAGCAATCTAACGCAAAAACTGCATATTTACTGAAGTGGTTGAATAGATAGATCATTTTAGCTAACAATCCAACCTTGATGAATTCTTAACAGTATCATGTGCTCAAAACTCAGACAGAGACCTACAAGAAGAAGGTTAGTGAACCTAATAGTAATTTGGTTCATGCCATTAATTTTTTTCTCACTTTTTACCCCCTATTTTCAAATTGTTTTTGGGATCATTACTCATATCAGTTGTTGCAGGTGAGAAGCATGGAGGAAAGGCATGGAAATCTCCTACTGAACTTTGTAAGCATCTTGAATCTAAAACCTGCTATTATTATGTACTCGTATTTAATAGTTTATTCAAGTTATTAATTTTGATTTAATCTAGGAGGCAAAATGCGAAGATCCGCAGTTTGGAACATTATTTGAGAATGACCGCGACTATGACTATGCTTTCCGCCTTCACCATGGAGGAGGTTTTGGATCCAATGAACTGCGCCTTGCTTAAGTTATTGAGGTCATATTTCTATATATGGTTGGGAATTTAAGTAGACTATATAGTAATTGGATATATATATATATATATATATAGCTGTCTAATTTATGTAGATGGAGTTTTTAATGTATTTCAACCTAACACCACTATGACTTTTGGTGATTTGTGTAAGCGCCGAGACTAAGTAAGCAAATAATTTGTGACATTTTATTATAGTTTGGCAAATAACTTTATAGTTTGTGACATTTTATGGGGAGAGCTTTTAAAACATGATGCCAATGACAATAAATAAGTTTTTTTTAAAAAAAAAAAAATAGAAGCAGCAAAAGCTACATACCGTTGTATAAATTGTGTAATTAAACAACATTAATAGATTCATAATTAATCAAATTACATAATAGAATAAGAAAACATGTTGAATATTACAACCATAGAAATACACAATACGATAAAAGGTAAAGAAAGCAAACTGAAACCTGTGTGATACTACAGTGTCCTTAAAACAGATTAACCGTCTCACCATGGGTGCTGGAGGTATATCGACTTTTGTCTCTCAGGATACGATGGTCAAAACCAGTTAATGCAGAAGCACCTTCTAAATAGTTTTGGCAAACTTGATAATGGTTGCACTCTCTCTAATAAGAACCAAAGAAGGGACTAGCAAAAGAAAATAGGAAAAATTTTCTTTGGTGTAAAACCATCTCCAACTCTTTATCAAATTCTATTTTTTCATCAAAAAAAATCTCCAAAATTATCCTCTCTTTTTTTTCTTTTTTCTTTTTTTTTTTTAAGTTAGAGGGAAAATATCTCTATTTATATAAGTAGGGGAATCCCTAGCCATAAAGGCTATACATCAATAGGACCATCAAATGTCATTAACTAAGGCCATCAATTCTAGCCATTAGGGCTAGAGTTATTAAAGTTGAAAACCTATGGCCAATATGGTCATCAACTTCATCAAAATATGAGAGTTACAAAGGTCTAAACTTCCCATGTGCTTAATATATACAAATAAATATGTATATAATGATGTTTGAATAAACTAACCCTAGCCATAAAGGCTATACATCAATAGGACCATCAAATGTCATTAACTAAGGCCATCAATTCTAGCCATTAGGGCTAGAGTTATTAAAGTTGAAAACCTATGGCCAATATGGTCATCAACTTCATCAAAATATGAGAGTTACAAAGGTCTAAACCTCCCATGTGCTTAATATATACAAATAAATATGCATATAATGATGTTTGAATAAACTAATTAGATGCGTCACATAATGGATACCAATGTTAGGTTATAACTCGATCCAAACCCAATTCTCAAACACATGCACAAACTAAGCCCAACACAACATAACTTAACTCAAGCTTAAGATTAAGTCCAAGTCTAAGTCTAAGACCAAATCCAACACACGCACAAGCACAAGTTTAGGCCCAGTCTAAACTAAGACTAAGTCCAAATCTAAGCCCAACTTTTATTGATATCCATTTTATGGGACAATTCTCATTCACACCTCAATAGTTTCGGCCTATCATTTTTATATTGTGATCTTCTCATTTGAGAGAATACAAAACCACTCAGACCCACCTCAACCGATGGTTGGGTCCACTTTAATTTCGAATTAAAGTTATTTTCCAACACATCATTCTCTAATTTCCTAAAAAATGAAAGTTTTGATGTAAATTCTAGTTTTTGAAAGTGGCCATTGATTTGATAAGGAAAGGGACTTTCATACAAAATTACATTTAAATTATGTACTCTTAATTTGTCAAAGCATAACCAGTTATGTGAAACATTTCCCAATCCATTTACTTGTCTTATGTATCACAATCCATTTACTACAGGTCCCCTTTAAGTATTTAGTGAATGCTTTCTAGATTGTACTCTAAGAAATCTGTTTGTATGAGTAAATAAATCATGAAAAATAACCAAGCATTTTAGGTTCTAATTTGGCTTTGTAATGTTCTTTTTGAGTATGCAACTTTAAATTTACCGTTATTGACAAGGAATAATAATATACAATAGAGTTCGTATAATGAAAAAAAGCTTACCTAATGTTGCTTGTTCATATCTTAGAAAACAAAAAATGCCAGCCATAACATTCTACAATTGAAAAAGTATAGAGTTCCGCTATGTAGTTCGAAATTTCCGAGCCCGAAATTGGCCCGAATCCAAAATGACATCGTTTTGGATTTTTATTTTTTTTCCCTTTTCTTCTTCCTTTCCATTTCCATAATTCGCAAAAGAAGAAGAAAGGAGGAAAGGAGAGGAGAGGTAAAGAAAAAAAAAATAGAGCAGAGACACACACACATCTGGAAACGTACACACACAAAAATCAAAGAAATCCACATATACAAATCCATGAAACACACACACACGCACGCAGATCTAGAAACACACACACACACACACAAATCCATGAAACACACAGAAATCAAACCCACATAGACAAATCCATGAAACACACAGACACACACACATATAGAAAAAGAGAAGAGGAGAAAAGAGAGGGTGGCGATGGAGGTGGTGTAACGGCGACAGTGGTGGTCGTAGTAGTGACGGAAGAAGAAGAGGCGACGGCAGCGACGACGACGACGTGAGAAGATCGATCGGCTCCCCCCTCCATCTTATCTCTTTCTTCTCTCTTCCTCTCTCTTCTTTCTTTGTCTCTCTTCCTCCCTCCCTCTGTTTCACAGGTAAAAGAGGAGAGAAAAAAAAATTCAAAACCATGAATTTGAGCCATTCGAGCCCCAGCAATTTCAAGCGCTGAATCATTTTCCAAAAGTATAATCCAACTTTGGTGCCATGAACGTCTGTGACAAGCCTTTCTTTGATTGACATTCTCATGCCATCTTTTATAGTATTATATGCCAATGACACTGAGTACACCACTATAAGAAAATTCAAATTCAAACAACAAAATTATCATGGTTTTTTTTTTTAAGATGGGGAAAAAAAATTTCATTACAAAACTGATAGAAAATCAAATTAATTTGGTATAATAGTAGCAAAAGATTTCATAAAAAAATATTAAAAACTTCTATAAGAAGAAGAATCCTAATTTCCATAAAGGAGAAAAAACTCTCACAAAATTATCATGGTGAGAAGTTGAATTTTTTTGGCTAAAAATTTTCAACAACAAAAACATTTTTCCCTCCATTCGTGGCAAAAAGTCTTGTCCAGGAAGTAGCCGGTAATGAAATACAGTAAAAAATTGTGCATAAATTAGTACACAAAAAAACATTTAGAAAATTATTGTATGGTTCAAATTTACTTCATGTGGTATAATATGCTTACATGTAAAATAAATTTGAGCCATACAACAATTTTTTTGAGATAATTTTGTAAATAAGTTTTAGTATACCTAATAATTCCGGATGAAATGTGTTGCTAGAAATGTTCTTTTTAGAAATGCAAATATTATTCGTGAAATGCTCACAATGGAGACGACAAAATCATCCATATAAAGTTGTTATATTTTAGGAAGATGGTTATAATTAGTTTTTTTATGAGAGAGAAAGTGGGTTATAATATGGGAAGTAGATTATAACCCACTTCTCAAAATAGGCAGCATGAAGATTTGTTCTAAAGTTGCGTTTGGAGATTTATTAATTCATGAAAATTTTGTGAGAAAAAAAATATATATATATATATATCTAAAATATAAACTATAAATTTTTGTCTCATTTCTTTTCTTTGTTATTATTATTATTATTTTTTTTTTTTGTCTACAAAACTCCTTTTAAACTTTAAATTTAAATAAAATGACCATGGTCAATAAATCACAAGAACTGTAATTATGACAAATTTTGACTTAACCATCAAGTTTGCGATGAGTATTGTTTTCAAGCTAATTATATGGATTAAAATATAAGCGATCATAATAAAATAATTATGATAAATTTGTGGAGTTTGTATTTTTTTTTAAAAAAAAAATTAAGGCTAAGTTTGGCATTTGGTCAAAAAGTCAAAAAATTACTTAAAAAGTTAAAAAGTTATCACTATTCACCAAAAGTCAAAAAGTATGACTGCACAATTCTCGATCCTAATTTTTCTTTATATACTAATTTATATGATTTTTTAATACATATTTTTTCATAAAAAATTAAAATATTAACCCAAATAATCATATTTTTTTCTCAACTTTTTAATTGAAAAAGTAAAAAAATATACTTATTTTGGACGTCCAAAAAAAATTTAAAAGAAAATTTAGAAGAGAAAGAAAAGAGAAAAAAAAAAAAAAAACGCAACTTGGGAAGGGAAGTATCGTCCTGTGAGGCCTCCTTCTAACTCTCTCTCTCGACTGAGCTCATTCCGGTGCTTCCTCCACTCAATTCACACCAATACACACAGACACAGAAGAGAGTAGATTTGCTAGGGTTTTAGGAGGAGATGACAGCAATTGTTCCACCTCCATGGATCCCTGAAGATGACCTCTTGTTGAAGAACGCTGTCGAGGTAACCCCTAATTCAATTCAATTCAATTTATCTCTCTCTCTCGTTTAATCTTCTTGTTCTTGTTGTTATTCTATTCTTACAATGCGACTGTGCAATTCACACACTGATTCATTTGCATCTGTTATGCTCTGGCTTAAAATGTTGATTTCTTTTGCTATTTTGAATTATTTGTTCCGGAATTCCCCCAATTCAGCTGAGAGTTTGCGGCCCCTAGTTCTTTCAAGTCTGAGGGACGATTTGAAATTTTTATGCTACTCACTATCCTTAATTAACTCTTTGCTCACTTTTTCTTAACAGCTTCTTTTTTCTTTTTTCTTTTTTTTGATGAAATGAGGTAATTTGGTGTGATTAACAATTTGGGGGCATCAATGATCTTAATTAACCTATCTATCTATCACAAAATTAACACAAATAAAAAGAAGAAGAAATAGGGAAGAAAAGACCAGCTTCAAGGGGGGAGACTTCCTGTTGGTTCCATTTGAGGTGAACCTAACCTCCATAAACTTCACAAGAAGTTAATTAAAAAATATGCGGATGCTTTTATCATTGAATACAACCTCTTTAAATTGAGAAACTAGACAACTACCTATGAAACTACAAAACCCAGATCACATATAACTCCACTAACCTACTAATACTAAAACTCCTAATTAATGGTTAATTAATAATAACCAACAAAAACATTGTAGTGAAAACATTCTCTTGTCACTTTGAACCAGCAAAAACATTTGGAAAAAGAAAATATGAAGGGAGGAAAACAACTATGAAGAACTTGTGAGGAAAGGAAAGTGAAATTTTTATAAGTGGATTTTTCCTCCCATCTTATTTCCAAGAACCGAATTAAACCCGAATGTTTTGCAGATTGTCCAAAGTTTTCCTGGACCGTTGCGTTTTGGATTTTGAAATGAACAATGACTTGCTTTTCTTGATCCAATTTTTTTCAATCTCTTTTTACAGGCAGGTGCTTCCTTGGAAGCACTTGCTAAAGGGGCAGTGCAATTTTCTCGTAGATTCACCTTTCAAGAACTGCAAGATAGATGGCATTCTTTGCTCTATGATCCGGATATTGCAGCTCAGGCTTCTGCTCTCATGGGTGAGCTTGAAGGTGGTTCTTCCAATCTATCATCAAAGTTCAATAGATCAGACAAATCTAAAGAAAGTAAAATGGTTCATGAAAAGAGAAAAGTTGGAAGTATCCGTAAACAATACTATGCCATGCGAAAGAGAATTCGAAGTGAATTTTGTAGCTCTGCTGATCTAGAATTTCTTACTGGAAATGGAGGTGAGTTTCACGAGCAGGTAACACTTGCTGATGTGCCTCCAGTTGGTAACTCTATGCTCGGAGATTGTATGCCAAACCATTTTGGGCTGCAAGAAACAGATTTTGATATCCTACATCATGCTTTCCCACAGACAATGACGGATATAACTGCCACCAATGCTGTTGCTAATGTTGGTGATGCGTTTCAGTCTGAAGGCCCAGACTCACTTGCAGATAATCAGATAAGCACAATTAGAAGGAACAGTTGCTCTTTTGGATTTCCTGATGATGTTTCTTCCTTGTCAGTCCGAGATTCACTAAGATATGATGAAACGAAACCTTTTCAGCAGAGTAATGAATGCAAAGATATTTCTCATGGTCTTGAAGATAATGCAGTAGACTTTGGGAAATGTTCAGGTGTTGATGAAATGGATACATCTCAACCACTTTCGGGTAGAAAATTATTTGTAGCGGATCATTCAGAGACAAGGCCCTTGTCTACCTTTGATTCAACTAATAATAACCTCCAAAATGTTTGCTCTGAATTTGAAGGAAGACAGCACTTCAGTTCCCCCAATTCAGATGGTAGTGCTTCATTTCATACAATGGGATTTTCACCTCCACTGCCTAGCATGCCTCTTTGGAAGACAATGGAGGATATCTCAGCACCTGCTATGCCAGTGAATGTGAGCCCTGATGTTAAAAGGCAGGGTGCAGAAGATGTGTCAGAACTTCCTGATAATGATGATTGTAAAAGAAAAAGTTCATCAGGCAATGATGTTATCCATTCAGGGCCAATGTTGACAGACAAACAAAATGGTGATGGCTTTATTAATTCAAATGCTATGTCAGATGGCGAGTTTGCAGATCTCCCAGATTCACTTTTGGACTTCTCGAATGAGGATGGGATTCTCTTCATGGATGTAGACGGGAAAGAGACACTGGATAAGCCTTGCTATGATAATACACCTATGTTGAGTTCTACCAAGAACGTTGACGAGGGTGATGCTCCCAAAGTTGAACCTAAGACAATGATTGTTTCAAATACTGGCCTTGCTACTGCTGGTGGTTCATGTGCAGGGGAGTCAGAAGTTATCACTTCCCATGTACACACTGTTTGTGGTGATCAGCAAAGTGTTTCTCATTCAGGAGTCAAAATGCCATCTACATCAGCATTATATAGCAAGTTTATTGAACGTACTGATGGGAACTTGCACTGCACATTGAACACTGAAGACCCAGAAATCCCATGCAATGATGATATTTTCTTGCTTATCCATCCAACTGCATCATTTTCTTCTTCTGCTATAGCACCAATCACTATACATGCTATTGACCATGTATCCTATGCTAGCGAGAAGGATAGTGGACAAGGACTAAAATTGATGAAGAAAGGAGAAGATCCTGCACAATGTTTTAAGCCATCAATGATGGTAGGACCATACATGTTGCCGGAAAGTGGTCCAGATCATGCAATTGTTGGGTGCGCTGTCAAATCTGAGTTGCCTGATACTAGCTGTATGTCTCTGCCTTCCAGACACAAAGCCATTGGAGAGCCAACTCAATGCAGATCAGCACACGCAACTCCAAACTCTGCTGTGGATGAAAAACTGGAGAATGATGTTACAAAAATCGAATTGGGGGTACTCTGTTTTTGATGGAATCTATTCTCTCTCCTAAACATCCAGTTCATGGTTGTGGTAATATTTATCTCTCTCTAAAGCTTGCTGTTTGTTGCAAACAGGTGGTAGACACCCCAGGTACATTTAGGGAATTTCCATTACATGCAGAAGCAGGTTCTGTTGAAATAACTCTTCGAGAATCGATGGTAAATCCCTCAACATCAGATCAGGAAGAACCTGACAGCGACAATGATGTCCCTTGTTTTTCTGATATTGAAGCTATGGTATATCTTTGGAGTTTTATTCTTAGGTCTGATTCTCTCCTATGAGCTATTACTAGATTTTTTGTCCTCTAATTCTTGATGTTTCTTTTCAGATACTTGAAATGGACCTAGGTTCATATGATCAGGATTTATATTTTAGTAGGCGAGGTAATTCCTTTGAGTTCAGCTTAGTTAATGAGTAGTAATTACCTTCTCTTTGTGGTTAATTGTACATGCGCTTGTTTCATGTACGGAAACAAGTCTTTAAAATTCATGTGGATTATTAGTTATTTACAATGGATTGGTTGGTTATGTGCATTGGTTAAGCGACCCTAATACAAATTTTATATGTCAATAATAACTTATGGTAGATACAAATGGCTTAGTTACAATTGCTAATCTACTTTCTCAATTAATATATAGTGAGAGCTATACTAGTTCAAACTGAACATTTTTTCTCTAGTGAAGAGAATTGATATGTTAACCAAGGGAAGCATAGTTCTTATTCATCAAAGTTAACAGCACATGGTAACTTGTATTTCATCTAACTTGGTTTTGTTACCTGGAATTTTTAGTCTCACAGTATCAAAATGAAGATTCTAAGAGGAAAATCATAAGGTTGGAACAGTGTGCTCGATCTTCTCTTCAAAGAGACATGGCATCTCAAGGTGCCCTTGCAATCTTGTATGGCCGCCATGTGAAACATTTCATTAGGAAAACTGAGGTACTTGTTCCAAATTGTGATTACCATTTTCTTGGTTTTCAAATGCAATTCATTAACAACTGACATCATTTTTGGCTATGGTTCAGTGAAATCTTCTATGTTTTGCAATTTTCTACTGCATAATCTTGGTCGGCATTCTATGAAGCACAGACACTTTATTTTAGTCAATGTAGCAGTGTCTAACATGAGTCATGCACAGACTCTTCTTGGACATACAGGGACACATGTTGGCTATGCCGCATGGTGTGTCGAATTTTCTATTGATTATTACTATTTTTTTGCTAGACATATTGGGGGACACATAAGGAAACTTCTTGTGTTAAGAAAAGCCGCAAAAGACATCTGGGGTTTATTCTATTTTACAAAGGTGGTTTGGTGGACAAATTTAGTATTTGGAACAAGGGGTTGAAAATTGAAATGAACAAAAACTAAAACTTTCCCCTAATGTGTTTGATCCTCAATGTCTCTAATCCATGCCCAAAAAATCATTTGAGAGAGACGTGGAGCATCTTTTCTTGAAAAAGTCAGCTGCCGCTCTTGTTTTGCTGGTGTTTCTATTATCAGCTTCCATATACGTTGGTTATGTAGAATTTTTGGTGCAGACTTTTGGTAAATGTTAACTCCATATTATTACTTCTTAAACAAAATAGTGAGAATTTATGTATTTTTCAAGGATGTTCTATTTATTGTTGAACTTGAATACTTATAAATTTGTGATGTAATGGTTTGTGATTGATGAAATAGTTTTTTGTATGTTGAATGATATTTCAATTATAGATTGAGTGGTTTTTTCTTGTTGATTTAGTGTTAGTTTTTCATTATTTTTTGTTGTTTGTGAATACATACAAATTAGCAAATAAAAATATGTATATATATATATTTTGTCATATCCCCACCACTTCCTATGTTTATATCCGTGTCCATGCTGGTTCTCGTGTCTGTTTTTGTGCTTAGACTCCAATCTTCCTTAGTCCAACCCTATGGTCTATTAGAGTCTTACCCTTCTAAAGAGAAGGTCATGGTTTCGCTTCCTTCTTACCAACCAAAGATTGTTTTATATCAATTACTTTTTTGTACTATGTCTCTATATTCAATTCTGGCTGCTCTAAATTGAAACGGTTGTTGGTACATTGTCTCCAAAGTATTAGATATGTTACAATAAAAATGAATGTGAAATTTGTTACTTCGTATGTGAAATGACACCCTCCAATGAAATAAAGGATTAGAAGATGAAGAAAAGAACATTCATCTAATTAAGCCAGACTAAATAAGGAATTTGATTCATTGTTCAATATGTAGAAGCTATAGTTTTCAAGAAAGATAGAGGCTGAGATCTGGATTTAGTATTGCAAAAATTACTAAACTAGAAGCCATTGTATACTGTATGGTATTTTGTTTTAATATAAATTCAATTTACCCCCATGTGGTTTAAGGTCGGCGCACTTTACCCCGCTATGGTTGAAAAATAGGCAAGGAGCCCCAATGTGATTTTGGACTAATGTGCAAACGTTAATTTTTCTGTTTAAATTGACGGAAATTGATATACACGTATATTTCAAGAGTTTGTTAGGAAAAAGATGAAGATAAAGTCAAATTAAAATAAGAAAAGACACTACTACTCTTCAACTCATCTTCTTCATGAAACTCATGTCAAGACCCTAATCTTCCCTTAACAGCCCTCTTTTGCAGACCCTCCTGCCACTGTTTGCCACTGTCCCCCACCTCCCACAGCTTTGTTACTTACTCCAGCCACCAATTTGCCACTAATCTCTCCTACCGCATTATATTTGTGACTCCCGACAACTTCTAGTATGTGTAACATTGCCGCCATCCATCTCTCCTCTGTAGTCCGCCGCCTCTCACGCAATTCCGATCCCCTCCTCCCACCAAGCTGCCACCCTTCTCCCCTCCCTCACCCCCCGCCCACTACCCCATCCTTATTCCCATAACTCATGAACACCATCTGGTAATATTTTGATTCTTAGTTGTAAAAGTAATCAATGGCCTGAGATATCCTAACAAGGTAACAATCTATAAGGATTAATTGGGGAATCTGTTGAGGAAGGCAATAGTCTTACAACATTGCTTGACAATTGGAGATATATCTATGTATAGATATAAATCGATATATACTATAAATATAGCTATATATATATGTAATAAATACAGTTGATTGGAAATTAGGTATAAAAAAAAAATTAAAAAAAAATAGAGATTGAGTTAAAGATTCGAAATTAAGTTATGAAATTACTATATTTGTGTGTTTCTTTTCAATGGTTGAATGAGTTAACATGTAATTTTTCTTTTTAAGATGGGAAGTTAATAGGTGGTTAAATAATAAATAAAAAAATTATATTTATAGCAAAAGAGAGAAATAGAAGATATAGTAGAGGGCTATTATGGTCATTTTATAATTTTTGTTAACAGAGTTACGTTTGCACATTAGTCCAAAATCACATGGGGGCTCTCTGCCTATTTTTGAACCATAAGGGGGTAAAGTGCTCCAGCCCACAAAGGGGTCAAATGAATTTTGTACTAAAATTATTGTTGCTAAATCCTGATTCCCAAATAGATGAACTTTTACTCTTTTGATTAAGCATTAACTAAAACAATGGACTGAATAGAGAAGATTAAGTGCATTAGATCAACAGATATAAGTTGCGGCTGCACTTGCTGCCTAGTTCATGTAACTCATTCCACTGAAATATCTCAATAGTCCTATTGGAATGAAGCGGTAGTATGCAGCGGCGGATGCAGAAATTATGACTAGAAGGGGCCATATATATGAGTTAAAAATTGACAACAAAGTTCTATTATTTCATTCATAACAAAGACAACAAAAGCATATTAAAAACAAGAATCACGTTGATGTTGGTGTTTTTATAGACATTTGTACAACCGATGCAAATATTGGTATTATTTGATGTATATTACCAATATTATTATGGGAGCATTTGGGGTTGAGTTTCTAAATTAATATTACGAGAACCACATCTATCTATCGAAAATTATTTATGATCCCATTAGCCACTATTATATTGATTGAATAGACTTTAAGATAGTGTTTGGTTTATTGAAATAAATATAAATTAAAAATAATAGTTATTCCTTAGTCTCCTTATAAAATGATAATCCCTTTACAATACTGAAAAATGTTTTTATTTGCAATGCTTTTCATTGTTTTTTTAGTGAACCAAACATGAGAATAAACATTTTTATGGGATGACCATTGCAATACATTTCATTCCAATGAACCAAACATAACATAATTGTTTGTCTTATCATTCATATATATTACTGATACAATAATAACAAATAAATGGTAAATAAATTTTAGAATGTAATTATCATAACAAAAAATTTCATTAGTGTTAATATATTAACATATTTGGAGGCCATATATTTTATGAGTAATGGGAGCAAGAGACTTCAATTGGCTTTTAAGGGGGCCACACCTTCCTAACATACCTTCCAACAAGAAAAAGGCAAATAAATATATGAGATTTGAGGAAACTTGCAACGGCCACCTCCATCCGCCAATGGTAGTATGCTGTGCACATAGTTGATGAAGAAGCAAGGAAAACACATCTTTTGTAGACCTCTTTTGTCACCCAATAATTTGCATTCTTGTTGAAGAATCTCGATTTTCATCTTTTGATGAATCAAAGGATTTATTTTTGTTGTACCACTCTGATTTTTCACAACTTGACCTAAACATCTGCTGGTGTCGGCTGTAACTTAGATAGTTTGATGCCTGTAATGAGAAATTTCAAGAATTTCGTGATGAGTTTGGCTCTGAAATTGATTTATAGTCATTGAGGAGCTGCAAATATGATATCCAAATAGCATTTCTTCTAGGTCGCTTACGTTATGGTCTCATAGTCAGACAGGTTTGTACCATTCTGCCTGGATCCAGTATCATAAGTCATATCGTTTCTACTTTTTGGGGAAAACCAGTACTCATTCATCAATACGTATGTCTGCGAACAACTTTTAGGCATGGGTTTGAAACACCCTCTTGGGGCCAGCACCCTACTTGGAGAAATCCAAGTGTTTCCTGAGTCATGTTGGCAAGTGCGTGGCACCTGTTCTCAAGTTGAGAGGGAGAAAAATAATTGTTTTCAGATTGCATATAACGGGCTCTATCAAAAAACTGTGTTGCTTGGCAGAATGGTAGGCAGGGTTTGTAACATTGGTTGTGGAATGCTCACTTCCTTTATTACATTAAAATATGTGTATAACTGTTTGACTATTGTGCTGGTACCTGAGTGAATAATTTTGAGAAATTATTGATGATTGTTGAGTTTTGTGCATTTCCTTATCCATTTATTACTTTTTTACTTTTACGCATTACAATTTTTTGAGATAGTCAATGGACTTTTTTACTGACCTTTAACTGAAAGTATACCACTGTATAGAGTGAGTTCAGCATCATATTGATTGGTCTGTATGTGGAGTTAGTCTCTGATTCGTGAAGTAAAAACAGTCATCTTTCTTTTTTCTCTTCTGCTAACTGTTGTCTTCTTTGTAATGGAATGATCTGTTTTATTTTTGTAGGTCATACTTGGAAGATCGACAGACGAAGCTGATGTGGATATTGATTTGGGGAAAGAAGGGCGTGCTAACAAAATATCTAGACGGCAGGTACGGTAATTAGAAAGATTTTTGTGGGTTTGTGCTGCTGTGTTTATTTTGACTTACGGAGGCAGTTGTGAGAATTGTGTTTTGGTATAAATATTGGTCTTTTTAGCCCTTGCAATCTTGAAGTCCAGACACTGACATGTCTCTGTGTGTCCACATTAACATTACAATTATAGAGAGACTTGCCTCATTAATACAAAGACTGGCTAAAACATAAGCACTAAAAGTATGACTTGAGCACCAATGTATTATTGTTGGTTTTTTAGTAAAGGTGACACTACAATGGATTTTCCAGTAAAGGCATATGCACATATTCTTCATCAAATTTCATAAGCAACCGAAGTTGTCATTTTTATTTTGTTCTAACTAGTGTCAAAGAGCATATAATGTTGACAATGACTTGACTAATTTACAATAATTTGAACAAGTGTACTACTTATCATTGTCTTGTGTGCGGGTAGTTCAGTTGCAGATTTTCAATTGCTCCTTATGAGAAGAAAGTGCTAAAACCTTTTTTTATTTCCTTAATCTAATGATTTGTTCTTTTATTTATAAAAACAAGATTCTGCAGAAAGATGCTAAAAACGAATCTGGCAGTATTAGAGACGGAAATGTTGAGAAACTGGTTTCATATGCCAAGCAATAATTTTTTTTTTTTTTTTTGGGGGGGGGGAGTTGTAGGCTACCAATGTAACGGAAATGCCCTTGTAATGACTAAATTTCACGAACAATACTTTCAGTCCTGAAATTTTTGAGAAGTATAGTGATTTTATTGTAAATGGAAAGGAAAACAGGGTTGGGCACACATGTAAAGTTTACATCATTATTTTTTGTTTCATCACTTTCGCAGACATTTCATTTAGCTGGTTAGGCATCGTTACTGTTTTTGATTTATTTGGGACAATAATTATTGTTCATTCTATCTGCGTAGGCAATTATCAAGATGGAAGAAGATGGATCTTTCTTTTTGAAAAATCTTGGGAAGAGTTCAATCTTGGTGAATGGCAAAGCAGTTGGCACTGAACAGTCAATGGGTCTTGGTTCAAGTTGTTTGATCGAGGTGTGTTACTTCACTCCAATTTTCATATCGTGCTCCACCTTAAAAGTCCTGGTATATAATTAACTTCTATAGTTGATTGAGCAAAACTAGTCAACTCTTATACTTTTTCCTAACTCTGTAAAAGCTTATTCTTAACTGTATAGTTGATGAGTTCCATACTACGTCTGACAGGATTTTGCAGAGTCTGTAATCAGACAACTTGATAAAGCCTTGTCCCAACTACTTACAGTTGGCTACATGAATTGTGTTTTTGCTATTCTATTTGATGAACTAATTTCAGTTAAACCATGAGTTAACATATCTTTATTATCTCAACCTGTGCAAATTTTAATCTCCCTTGTCTCCTAGTTTGTACCTCAATGTGGGCAGTATTAACTTATGGTCTGTTCACATGGTCTAGAATGCCACTACTTTTGATATTTCCCTGCCTACATTAGTTTATCATAATGACAACTGTGTGGTCTCATAAAGTTATAATTTAAGGTGTTTTTTTTTTTAACTTGCTGTGGCATTTTTTTCATAGTTGCCAAATCAAGAATCATATCATGAGTCGAAATCCTAATTTTGCAAATCATGAATCAAATTGAATTGAGAATCATTAGATTTAATAAACTATAAAAAAAAATTATGTTAAATAATTGTATTTATAAAGGAAAATAAAATAAATTGATTTTGGTACATGGTCTACGATAACATGTACAATAATTATTGTACAGGTTATACAATAATTCTAATATGAAGACATGATTACGTCATCTAAATTAGAATGACGTTTTCGTAGCCATATATGTGGATTCAAAATCCACCAACCATAAAGTTGTTTAAAACTCATAATATATTCTCTCTTGACATTTGAAAAATGGACATCGAAATCCTAAATAAAGTAGAGTAAGAAGAAATAGTGCATCGGAACCCTCTATTTTAAACATAAGAACTTTAGAAGTTTTTTACCCTTGCTGTTTTGAAAAAGTGAAATAAATTGTGCAATCGTTGGGTCAGACTGATTTGGCCTATATCATATCAAAACTGTTTATTTGACTAACATAATTGTAGCTGTTTTATGGTTGCAAGTTATTTAAGCCTTAAACATTTGTAGAAGATGTGTTTTGGCATATTTTCGCAAGGAGAAATGAGAAAAAAAACTGATAGGAACTGTCAGGTATACAATTGGATCCTGTTAAACCTTTGATCACCAAAAGAACAACAAATCATGCATAGGTGTTAGTTATTTTCATACTAAATTTTCTTAGCAATTTATTCTGGCATTTTGACCCCAAAAAAAGAGAAGAGTTTACATCTACACAAACTGATAGATTTGAGTTTCAACCGGTGATTTGATATAAAAGGTTTGTTTGGACCTTGACAATAAACCATCTAACAAGTATGTTTAGTCATATCTAAATATTTTCTAAAGAATGTCTTCGGCTGCAAATCATGAACCAAACAGAAACAGTTAGGCCCGATTGAGTGTGTATATATATATATTGGAAATGAAATATCATTTATCATTTATAATTTATATATTACATGAAAATATTAATTTTTTTTTATTATCTATATTCATATATGTTAATAATGTATCTTACGATGCATGATACAATACGATATGCAATACATAGAAGTGATACAACGATATATGATATGTATCATGATTTAACAACACTGTTCCAAAGCTAAACTTGAAATAGGAGTTTATTTCTATAGGAGAACCTCCTCATGCTGGAAAGTTGGCTTCCATTGTTGGATGCAAGATAGGTGCCTTTCTAGGCACATATCTTGGCTTACCACTGGGGTCTTCAGTTAAGTCCAAAGCTGTGTGGGTGGTTGGCTTACAGCTTACCCTTATAGGTTCATCTCGTGTTAACATGTCTTGGGCGGAAACTTTGACAAAATTAGTTGATCTATTGTCTTTATTTAAAGCTTCTTGTGTCACTTTTTCTATGCATTATAACATTTGGCAATGGTGTGTCAACTTTGATAATGCAACTAATTTATGCTAATGATGATTATGTAGATAAGGGGAATGAGTTTCATGTTTGAAATGAACCACAAATCTGTCGGGCGCTACTTAGACAACATTGCCAAGAAAAGCCAAGGACAGAGAACCAATTTTGAATGGTCGCCTAGGGGAGCCCTGAGTTGAGGAATGCTTTGAAAAGGTGCCTTCTGTTTTCCAGTTTGTTTTGGCAAATTAATCATTATGTTGTATAAGCCAAGCATTCTTACAGGAGCATCTTTTTGTGTGCTTAATGATAGAATGTATAGTCATTTTCATGCTTATGCATATCATCATTAATTGATTATTCAACCTTGGCAAGCGCCATGGACTTTTCATTCTCCCCTCTTTTATCTATCTGTTGTTTGAATGCAATGGTTTATTTTAGCTAATTTTGGGTTAGATGATCTCCTGTGAGAAGGTGCAGTAACTGTGGGACGTTCTGCTCGAATGGCTGTGCTCAGGGTGCATATTTTGTTAGGTGTTTTCCACTCTTCACTGTGTCGTAAAGGATGTCAAATTTTGGCATCCAAGTTGGTTGTCCCTTCTCAAATAGTCTTATTTGAACTTTGATAGCTGTGTTTGGAACTTGGATATTATTTCCCTTCTTACACATTGTTTAAGGCGGCTGATTTTTTTTCCGTGGTTGACCTTTTAGTTTTTTATGAAAACATATGTAAAAAAAAGTAGAGAGTGATATAAAAATTTATAGCGACTTTTTGACTAATTTTGTTACTTCCCAACCAAGGCTTTAGTGCCGATGAAGACTTTAAATTTTGTTTGAATCTTGAATTTGTAGAGGAAAAAAAAAGAAAAAAGAGAGAAATATGACAAAATTTTAACTTTTTAGTTATTTCACTTTCTCATTTATTTTTTCCCCCCTCACAAATCTATGTTCCAAACTTTTGCTTATTGGTTCTATGCATTTTTTCGTTGCTTTCTCAATTTCTCCATGGCAGGTTTGTGTTTCTTCTTTCTGGGAAAATTAGTGGATATTTTTTTGGAATACAATATGGCATTTTTTTATTATTATTTATTTATAGAGGAATATGGCATTGCTTACGTAGTACTCTTAGCTAGGGCTGCAAATGAACAGACTCGAACTCGGCTCTTTAAGAACTCGTTTGAATGTAGTTCGTTAAATTTTTTTTTGCGTTTGAGCTTGAGCTCAGTAAATTTTTAATAAACAGGTTCAAATATTCTGAAACTTGGCTCTTAAGCTCGGTTCGTTGGCTGGTTCGTTTAATATTTATTATTTATATATTAAATAATGTAAAAATATATATAAAAAATGAGATAAATATGTTATTTATATATTTAAAAAATATAAATGTAAATAGTAGTTAACTATAGATAGTACATTTATATAATAGTGGTAGTAGATATTATTATTTTGATAAAATATGAATTTTTTTGTTTAGAATGCTTATATATGTTGCATATATAATTGTATAATCAAAGTTTAAGTGTAACTTTAGTTTTATACGCAAGTATGAATTTATATAATTTTTAGCTCGTTAAAACTTGTGAACAGGCTTGAGTTCGAGGTAAGCCTAATCTAACTTGACTCGAGCTCGGTTTGTTAAATTTTCATTAAACTCAAGCTCAAGTTCGTTAAAATCTTAATAAACAAGTTTAAACATACTAAAATTCGACTCGACTCGATTCGTTTGCATCCTTATTCTTAGCCAATGAGAAACCATAACACATTAAGTAGATTTTGTTTTTGAATTACCTAATAAAAGTGCATCAGCATGTCTCACCTTTCTAAATTTTTTGTTAGTAATTGGTTTGAAATACAACATAAATGATGTAATGTGTTGTTTTGGGATTGTTGAATAATTACCCTTTTATCTTAAGAAGTATCTTACTTTTCAATCATCAGGGCCCTACAGAAAGATTAAGGAGAATTAATCGGGGAAATAACTGTACAGTGATACAGTGAAAAAAAAAAAGTTATAAAATTATGAAAAAATATAGCATTTTAATTATTAAAATGTATAAATTTTATCACTAATTTATAATTTATTTTTTCTCAGTCCACTGACAGATAATTCCCAAAGATTAAAATGTTAATGTATTCTATCCTTGAAAGAGTTCACATATATCCACATATTATAGACAACCCAAGTTTCAAGGTTAATGATAAAAGTATCGAAAATTATACAATAGTTTCAGAATATTATGTGATTATATTCTTTCACTAATCATTATTCATTATGTCTCATCATATTCTTTAATTGTTCAAAACAAACAATTAATACTTCTCTTTCTTTATCAATCATATTATTTTATTTTAAAACATTACGTGACCGTACCTTCACATCAGCGAATAATCACCTTAAAAGTATACTTGCTTATTTTAGCGTTCAATATTCTGTTTCGAAGTATCAACAGATATTTGTTTTTGGGTTAGTATATCAATAGATATTTGTTATTGCTTCCTAGAGAACCCTTTTCCTATGATGATGTCTGCTCATGAATCAAGGTTCATGAAATGATTTGATAAATGGAGATTTAGTGCAGAGCACGTGCCGCCATATATAGGCAAAACATTAACCTTGTATTTTATCAAAAATTATGAGGTGGGTGGGATAACCACGTAGAGCAATGGTGGCCATTTTGTACTGCGTTTGGATTTGGATTTTAGATTTGTAAGGGAAAAAGAAGAAGATAAAATAATAATAAAAATTGAAGTAAAAGAATTTTTTTTTTTTCTCCCCATTTTTGATTGGATTAAGAAAGTTATTGTGGTGCCACGTAAATTAAACAAGTTAGTTCAACTGTCTTGTACACTTTTTGGGAATCACTTGGCAAACAGGAAAAGGTCTTTTAAGATTAGATCCAATATAATGATGTGTATCATATCATAATCCCCTTTATCATACTCATGCATTGGCCAACAATTTGAAATTAAGAAAAAGAAATTCTAAAAGGGCTTCCATTATGGTAAATGTATGATTTATCCTTACTTTTATGTACAAGACTTTTCTCCGGTCCGGATATGAATTGAAGAAAACAGTTTGGTTAAGCAAATTGTACCACATTGACCAAAAAAAATTTATAAATCAAAGGTTTAGATTTTGTTGACCCACTAACCGGTTAATATTGGGTTGGATTTTTTTGCTTGCATCTAAAATTAGATTTGTATAGATTGATAAATTTGAAGCATTAATTTATAAAAATACTGACGTGATGAGCATTAAATGCTCGAATTGAAGATGATCACGGCGCTTTTATAGTCAAAAGAATTTCAAATCATAATATTTGTTTCATAGTAACTTTATATTATGGTAGGGTTAAAAGAGATATGTTTCCAGCCTATGATATTAAGAATTATTTTGAAAAGATGGTTAAAAGGCATCTTTCAGCTTTTAACTTATTTTGAGTCACATTATCTTTTTATTTTTTTACATGTTTTTTCAAAAAAAGCCAAAAAAATTAAAAAAATTTACTTTTAACCAATTTTCTAAAACAATCCTAAGAAAAGAAACTAAACAATTTTTACAGGAGTGGAGCAGCATAGTGAAATCATGAAACACGAACTCATTGAGGATGCAAAAAATCATAGGAAATGTGTAAATCTATATACACTTATATGACTGTGAAGTTGGTAAAAAAATTGACTTTTGACTTTTTTTTGTCAAAAAAACTAACTTTTTGGATAGTAATTTGGGTAAAAAAATTAATTTTTTTGACTAAAAAAAGCTAAAAATTAGCTTTTTACTAGCTTGTCAAAACAAGCCAATGTGATGTTTTTATTATTCTTGATGTAATACTTTTCATATTCATAATTACTCTCTTATTAATTGGCAAAACAGAAAATAATAATAATAATAAGGGCATGGCTTCTGTCCAGTCCTTAATCGGACTGGACCGTGCTATTGGGCCCTTGGGGACTCACCACGAGTTCCGTTTTGATAAATCTGAATCGTTTAATGTGTAGAACTCGTCGAGTACTATATGCCTGTAAAAAATCACGTTAATCAGATATCGATAGCTATGTGATCAAATCAGTTTTGTATAATAAAAAATAGACGGTGAATAAATTAACGGTTGACAAAAATCTGTTTTGATCACATAGCTATCGATATCCGATCAACTTGATTTTTTACAGGCATATATTATTCGACGAGTTCTACATATTGAACGGTTCAGATTATTAAAACGAGACATGTGATAGACCTTCACAAGCCTAACAATATGGTCCAATCTAATTAATCGGACTGGACAGAAACCATTCCCTAATAATAATCATGCATGGTTAGTATAGTGAACATCAGGAAAAATTTAGAAATTTGGTACAGTATATTCTTAAATGTGGACACAAGCCATTGGATCATGCACTTTCAATTTGGTATGCATTTACTTACAGTGGGACCTATTGTTTGTACTGAGATGGCTATGTTTGAGATTCCCATTGAAATGCAATAAAGACAGAAATTTCGACAAGTTACGAGTCGATTTAGTTTGCATTAATATTAAATGGTTGTTTAGAATGTCCTAAATAAATGTATTTTTTAATTTATTTTATAAAAAAATGTATAAAAAATTAGATAAAATAAATAGAAAAATAAAAATGAGATATTGATAGATATTAATCGATGTGACTCAAATAAGTGTATATATATAATAAAAAAAATACTTTTTTAATGTATGTTGGAAAATGGCATTTGTGTTATCTTATTTTTTACTAACTTTGAGCATTAATTAAAGTGTGATCCAAGCGGTATTTTTAATGTTTCTAATTGGGTTCATGTTTAACGCCACGTAATGAATAAATTCATGTATTTGGTTGCTCAAAACCATTTCCAGATAAATGGGAATTCAACGCGCGTTTTTTGGTTCGTGGAACTAGTTTTTTGGTAGATTTCCTACACATTTGTGAAATGCGCTTGTCCCACATTGGAAAGGCTTGAGGAATTGTTTGGATTTATAAACCTTAGCATTGGATACTTGTGATGGGCCCCAAGGGGTATCCAAGTTTGTAGAAATGTGAGGTTACGAGTATAGTGGGTTAGACCCCTTGGACCCAAAATTAAAACCCCGCGCCCACGCCGCTCGCCCGGCGAGCTAGGCGTGGGTGCGTGGTGTGAGGTTGGGTTGGGTTTGTCCGGGCAAAAAACATTTGAACTTTATTTATTTATTTTTATCTCTAGTTTTAAAAATCAAAATAAATTGGCCCAATTTTTTTCCCTTCACCCAAACAGTTTTTAACACACCCGAACGGGTTTGAACCTTTTGAATCTTTCCCAGACAGATGTGGAACTATCCAAACAATTCAAACAGATTTTCTATCTATTGAAATCGATCCGAACAGTTGCCTATCTATTGGCACCTGTTCGAACAGCCACCAACCTGTCTATATAAAGTCTACTCCAGCAATTCATTTTGCATCCAAAAATTTTCAAACTTCTTCCCTTTCTTCTTATGTTCGTCCTCTGTTGTTCCTGCATCTGTTTCTGTATTTATTTTTAGAAAAAGAAAGCGAAAGAGTTACGGCATTGTTTGGTTCGCCAGACTTGATTTTATAGTGCTGTAAAATCAAGTGTTAGTCATTGCATCTTGGGAAGTAGACGCCGGTTATATCTCGAAGCACCGGAGCGAGGGCGAAATCTACTTTAAAGAGATTGTGTCCAACATAAACCTTGACATTAATTTCTGTAAGCATTTAATTCGGAGAACAATTTATATAATTATTTTTTGAATT